GGCCATGGTGGCCCGGCGGTTCGACTTCAGTCTGGCGCCCGGTGCTGAGGAGGTGAGTGGGTGCGAATATATGAAAGCTATTGAGTATATGGGAGAGGAGAGGCGGGTGGCATGAAGGCAGGTAGCCTTGCCCGGCTGTGGCTATCCCGGCCCGTCGGTTCGACTTCGGGGTGGCACCCGGCGCTGAAGAGGTGAGAGGAGAGAGGAAAGAGAAAAGATTAAAGTTGGCGACTGCATGCGAGAGGAGAGAGGCGGGTGGCACGACCGTGGCACGTCGCTTCAAATGCCCCTTCTCTCCCGCCTATGGGCTTCTCATGACTGTCTCTTTTGAGGATGCTAATAAATATAAACCCCCCCCCCCCCCCCCCCCCCCCCCCCCCCCGGCCACTCCTGTTTCCACTGTGCCGTGTATCAGGTGGGCATGACAACAGGAGCCACCATCCATACCACCAATGGCCTTCTCATGGCTGTCTCCCGCAGAACCCCCCCACCTGCTCAGCCTGTGCCCTCCAATGGTGCTGCTGTTGCTGTTGCTCCAGAAGCTGCTGCTGCTTCCGGTGCTGCTGTTCCCGAGGTTCCTGCTGTGGTCGCAGCCAATGGTGACATGCCAGGTGGGGCAGTGGCAGCATAGGGTGCAAGATGCTACCGAGAGCCCTACGTCAGCTAGAGACATTGTGAAACAATTGTACGGGGAGGGAACTCAGAGCAAACACGGTACATATATTGTGCTGTAGTGGTTTACATATTCTTTGCTTGGATGATTACTCAGCAAGCACTTTTCTCCATGCATAAATCGCTGCAGTATGGTTAACTGCAGATGGTGGGCGTTGTATCTATGTTGTTGTGAAGAATACCCCACTTGTTTAGCAATAGTGAGCTTGAGGTGTAGTTAAGCGCTAACTGCAAGTTACATAATTGCGGTGTTAGACAAGCTTGGAAGCCCGAAGTGTAGTTGCATAAACATCCAATTCTGTGACCGTTTCTCGCCCGTTTCTCCTCAATCGTACGGTTTGTCGTCAACTAACCAATCACGAGTTGACAGGGCCAATGATGCCATCTCGCAAAACGTACGAAACCCCTCATTTGTGCACGCGCCCCACGTGCATATGCTTCCAAAGTCCTCGTTTTTTCTCTACAGTACCGTTTCTAGCCCCCACCAAAGCAGATGTTGCGCTCGGTGCGCAGGTACATAGGTGCTCAATCTACACAAGGATCACCCCAAACCAGGACTTGTTCAAAAGATCGTTCTAGCAAAGTGTACAGAAAATCAGAGAATATCCTTCTGTGCAGAAGAGAAAAGTGAGGACCCTGGCGAGAGTTTCCCGGGCGCTGTTTGCGGGCAGGCAGGCTGGGAATTGTTGCGACAAGTTGCAACTCCCTCGAAGCCAGACAGCACGACAGCACGCTGGGTTTGCGGTTTCCTTCAGTTTCTTCAAACCCTTCCACAGTCCCCCAGCAACCAGCCAAGCCTTTCCGGGAGAGGCGCACCGCACACCCGTATGCGCGCACTCGCGCGTAACATCTCCCGTCAATACCGCTCCCTTTCCTTCCCTACACCCCAGCAAAACACAAACACCCCAGCTTCGTATCCCCTCCGCAATCCAGCCCGCCTTCCCGCCCACCTGACCGACCGCACGGTGGCGAGTCCGTGACTGTGAGCCGTCCGTTCCTTGCTTTTCCGCCTCGCACCCGTATCTCCTCCCAGCCGAGCCAAGCCTTCTGCCGCAGCTTCCTTGCTGCCTCCCCTACCCCTGCCAGCCCGCTGCCGAGGGACAGAAAAAGGAAGGTGCGATATCTTGCCCGCAGCCGTCTGTAACGACGGGCGGGGAACCGTGTGGCTTGGTTGGTTTGGGTGAGCTCCGCTCCGCAGCTTCCCTCCACCGCAGCCTTCCCCAACGCACGGCTCGGACTCTCGGAGTCAGGACGAAACCAAACCACCCCTCTTTCCTCATCCCGCCGTTCAAGCCCCCCTTCCCCCCTGCTCGCTCGCTTAGCACAACCGAAGTGAGGCTCCCCTCCCCAGCCGGATCTAGTGCTGCTGGCGCGAGGTTGCTGCTTGCTCCAGCCAGCCACCCACCGCTAGGGCAGGGCAGCACGGCACGACATGCGTTGCGTGCTCCAACAGTTACGAAATCATTCCTCCACAGTTACGTTTCGACATGGGGACAAGAATCACACCACAAGGTTTCTGAGGAGCGGACGGAGTTATTTATTAGCCTCCATCCCAACCAGACTACTCAGTCGAAGCTTGATTAATTGTTCTTGCACAAAGCCAACCCAGCAATTCTTCCACTTCGTGAAAGCTAGCAGCAGCTTAGTAAGCTCCGCATCTGCACCATTCCGCATTCCTTATATCATGGCTCCAAGAATGCCTGTCCACGACTCACCTATCGCAGCACAAATTGACGAGTTCAGTTTTATCTTCGACCTAATGGACCGCGATCGCGACGGTCGCATTTCCGCAACAGAGCTTGCATCAGTTCTGGAGAGCTTGGGAGAGGAGCGAGTGGAGGAGACGGTTCAAGCCATGATGAGCCAAGCCGACACTGACGGCGACGGCTACGTCGATTTCGACGAGTTCATCCGCGTTAGTAGCCACTCTTCAGCCACGTCGTCTCTTTTTTATGCGTCCCCGAAATCGACATTATCCGCGTCCCTCGCGTCGGATTGCGAATCAGCGGCCGAGGCGTTCTGCTGCCGAGGATCCGACGGTCCGTCGATCGACGATCTTGCAGCGGCTTTTGAGCTGTTTGATCGGAATAAGGACGGCTTTATCACAGCGGAGGAGTTAAGCGAAGTAATGGGTGGGATCTGGGAGGACGAGGACATGTCGCTGGAAGAATGCGAGAGAATGATCCGGAGCGTCGACCTTGATGGTGATGGACGGCTGTGCTTCAGCGAGTTTGTGGATATGATGCTGGCGTCAGGGTCATGGGCGCAAACCGAGTTGTCGCCATGCCAAACGGAGCAACGGAGCGTGAGGGCGAAAGCAGGGATTGTGTTCTGAGGAGGATCGCACTCATCAGAATACTCGCTGGGTCAACTGCAGGACGAGCCTGTATGGCTTTTATATGCCAGAAACTATGCTTAGGTAGCTGAGGGTCCCCATGTGTACATAATTCTCCGCATCAATATTTCAATTCATCGTTATTTGTTCTTCATTTACGCTGAGCTATGCAGGAAAATATGTTCCTCAAATTTTATAAACACTAACCTCAAACAACCCAGGAAGGTGTAGATGTTGTTCCAATGTTCGCTGAGGATTTGCGCACAAGAGCACTTTGACAGGCGGAATGACGTGGAGTTGACATTCCCGCCACGTCCGCCAACACGAAGAACCAGTCGAAGCAGCGCGATGGCAGTTTCCAGGCCCGCCAAAATCCTTAACTAGCCAATGCGAACCCGCCAGAGCGTGCCATGCCCGATCCCCAAGCCTTGGAACGGCCACGTAACAAAAATTCCGATTGGCAGGCAATGATGTTCTGCTAAGCACAACAAGTTCATCTTGGCCAAGTACGCAAAGCGTCAGCCCTGGGAGCTCCAAACGTCCCCCCACTCACATATTTATCTGTGAGAACTTCACCTCATTTCTACCCTTCTCATTTCCATGTCACCCTGATCACGATCCTGATCAGGTCGATTTCCCTAAGTAATCGTTTTCCCTGGTTAGTTTAGCCGCGAGACTGGATTAGGTGTATCGTTCTCACGAGATTTTGACGGGCGAACTAATGCGCCCTAGCTCCTGAACAATAATAACGTCCTTGTTCACCTTTCATGCTTCAACACTTCGACATTTCCTGATCTGGCTATGACTCCACCAGCGTCAACACGTCGTTGCACTGGCGAAGGTTGTTAACGGCAGCGTCGCTCGCAGGAAAGGATATAGATGAGCGTCTCATTTCCTTTCTTCCGTCCGTTGCGGGCTGGGAAAAGCAGTCATGCTGAGTTCAACTTCCCAGCCTGGCCACGCAGCCCAATGCAGCTCACTGATCAATAACACATCGACGCATTCGCGTCAAACCAGGAGAACGGGGAATGGCTCGAGGGACGTCTTAAGAAATAACTTCAGGAGGATTCGTTCTTCTTCTGGATGTTTCTCCGGCGCTGCGCTTGGCCTCCCTCCTCTACCTCCCCGTTCGAGAGTGCTTGATAGACTACACGCCTGCAGGATAGGTAGCGATCCCATCATACCACGGTTGTTAAGTAGCAGCGCAAGCACTGCGGGGATTCTAAACTACCGAAGTAGCTCTTTCCGAACCCAAGAACCACATTGCAATAACCCCCCAAATCGCCTAAACCAAGGGTTGTATCAGCAACGGGGGAGTAGATCAGACATCAGCAGTTCAGTGCAATGCCGAGCCGGGTCAGGTCCACACAGAAGAGCACGACGACAGTTTCCCTCAACACCCACTCACAGCACCGCTCCCAACTCCTTTAATTCCTCCTCGAACCCCTTTGGCATCCAGCATCCGCCTTCTACTCCTTTCAATGGAGGACCAGAGTCTCCCGCTAGGAGACACAGGAGACGGGAGAAATGGCGCACGCGACTAGCCTGGTGGGATGATTGGTTCTCCAGACGCCCTCCCGAACCTCCCCCGGGTTGGCCCGGCGTTCCGGACGAGCCTCCCGCGGGTCCACCGGGGGATCCGCGGAGGCGGAGCCGGAGATCGGAGGGGGAACCTGGCACGCGGAGAGGCGGAGGCGGAGGGTCAGGCGGGGGGGATCCTGGCACGCGGAGAGGCGGAAGCGGAGGGTTAGGCGGATGGGATACTGGCACGCGGAGAGGCGGAGGCGGTGGGCCAGGCGGAGGGGAACTAGGCACGCGAAGAGGCGGAAGCGGGGGCGGAGAAGCAGGGAGAACTGGCAGCAGTAACAGAGGCGGCTTTAGCAGCAGCGGTGGGGGGCCGAAATTTGAAGCTCCAGGGTTTAAGGGATCTGGGTGGGGCGGCCCGGGATCAGGCTCGGTTTTTGGAAAGGGGTTCGGGCAAACAGGCCCGGGGATGTCCGGAAGCGGGACTGGTTCCGGCGAGCCCGGCGCGCCGCTGCCACGCTGGCAGCAACGTCAGATAGTAGGCGGCCCGGATGACGACATAGACGCCATGCTGGCCGATCCCGAGCGGTTCGAGCGGTGGCAAACGGCCCGGGAACTACGGGGAATACAATTGGCTGGGGATGATCCGGATGACCGTGAGTGGGAAGACTGGATCGATGACCCGTCAGAGTATGATTACGAGACTGGCGGGTGGTATGAGCCCCAACCGGACTGGGAGAAGGGCGGGATGCCGCGAGAGGCGCCGGATATCCCGGAGAGAGGCATGAGCCGGTCGTTTAAGGAGCTGCTGCTGCGGATCTTCCAGCCGCAGGACGAGGTGGAGGAGAGCCTGACGTTCGAAGAGAGGGTTTTCAGATACACGTCCCAGACCACGGTGAGATTTGATGCGTCTCAGACCTGGTAAGGTTTGAGGCGTCTCAGAACTTAGAGCTGGTTGCTTCAAAGCTGCTGCTGAGGATCTTCCTGCCGCAGGACGAGGTGGAGGAGAGCTTGACGTTTGAAGAGAGGGTGTTCAGATACACGTCTCAGACCACGGTGAGTTTTGAGGCGTCTCAGAACTTGAGCTGATTGCTTCGAAGCTGCTGCTGAGATTATTTACGCCGAAGGATGAGGTGGAGGAGAGCTTGACGTTCGAAGAGAGGGTGTTCAGATGCACGTCCCAGACCACGGTGAGATTTGAGACGTCTCAGAACTTGAGCTGGTTGTTTAGGAGCTGCTGCTGGGGTTGCTTAAACCACGGGACGAGGTGGAGGAGAGCCTGACGTTCGAAGAGAGGGTCTTCAGATACGCTTCCCAGACCATGGTGAGGGCAGATGACGATGGGGGAAGCAGTTGAGGGCGAGGGGTGGACTATGGAGATGACAGTAAGGAGCAGATGAGCGGGAGGGGCGCATGGTAGTGAAGAGGAGGTAGCAGTGAGAAAAACGAAGGGGCCAGTGACAGAGGAACAAAGGAGAAACAAATAAGAAATATGAGCCCTTCCATTGTCCCTCCCCCTCCCTCTCCTTTGTTTACCCCTTTCTGCCTCCCACTCCTGTTTCCCATCTGGCAGGCCAAATTTGTCATTTTTCTCATTGCGGTGCCGTGGGCGTGTAGCTGGGTGCTGCATGACTACATCCTCACGCCCTTCATGCACCAGTGCGTATCAAATCTGCACACCAGTGCGTATCAAATCTGCCCACCAGTGCGTATCAATTCTGCACATATTGTATAAGCGTCTTATTTGAAGCACCTAATGAACAAGCCCTAACCCTGTGCCCCAAAAGTATTTAACCTTTGATTGAGTGCTGAAGAACCTAAAGCGCCTCATACACATGCCAGTAAAACTCAAATTCACTGACATGCGTGAGGACTCACAAGGAGGGGACTACACATTCTGAACATAAAAAACACACCAGAACGATATTGAAGCTTCAGAAGTTGCACACATGAACGTTTACAACCCGAAACCCTAGCTAGATCCCTCTCCGTGTGGCCCCTAAATTCACCTGACCCATGAAACATCACCCGAACTTTGAAAAAAAAAAAAGGTTTCCAAAGTATTCCTTTCCCAACCCTTGAATCTCCCACAGCTATGCTCACACCATGCTGGACCTGAGGGAGGGGCAGAAGCTCAACATGATTTAGCGCCTGTATTCAACCTCCTTCCACCCATCCCAACCCTCTTGCATCTCTCTCTCCCCCAGCTACTTGCACACCACCCCTCTGATAGCGCGCATGCTGGACCTGAGGGAGGGGCAGAAGCTCAACATGATTGAACGCTTCAAGCTCGAGAGGCAGCTGGTGTCACCTGTATTCAACCTCCTTCCACCCATCCCAACCCTCTTGCCTCTCTCTCTCCCCCAGCTATGCGCACACCACCCCTCTGATAGCGCGCATGCTGGACCTGAGGGAGGGGCAGAAGCTCAACATGATTGAACGCCTCAAGCTCGAGCAGCATCCGGCGTCACCTGTATTCAACCTCCTTCCACCCATCCCAACCCTCTTGCCTCTCTCTTCCCCAGCTATGCGCACACTACCCCTCTGATAGCGCGCATTCTGGGCCTGAGGGAGGGGCAGAAGCTCAACATGATTGAACGCCCCAAGCTGGAGAGGCAGCAGCTTGCGGATTACACCTTAACCTTATTTGTGTGCACCTGGAGTCAACCTCCTTGAACCCATCCCAACCCCCTTGCACCCCTCAGCTATGCGCACACCACCCCTCTGATAGCGCGCATGCTGGATCTGAGGGAGGGGCAGAAGCTCAACATGATTGAACGCCTGAAGCTGGAGAGGCAGAGAATTCGGTTCGAGGCGGACATTGGGAAGGCGCCTCCCTTGTCAGAAGATGGATTGGCGGCTTACCTGCAGGAGGAAGCGTGAGTAGTGGGCAGGGTTTGGTTTATGGGTTTGGTTGGGTTGGGTTGGGGTTGTACTGGAAGAGATTGGGTTTGCGGTTGATGACGTGGACTGGATTTGAAGATTGGCGTGGACATTGGGAAGGCCCCTCTGGTGCTTGGTTAGTTGACTTCTGAGTCGACTCAAAAATGAGCTCAGATCAAAAGTGAATATGGGTGTGGACACAGGGAGGCCCCTCCGCTGCCTGCTGAAAGATGGGCTGGCGGCTTACCTGCAGGAGGAATCAGGAGTGGTGGGCAGGATTTGGTGTGTGGGAATGGTTTGAAGGTAGACCCTGAAATCTTAACTCTGTTCAACCCAGAACCCTGAACCTCCAGGCATGAGATGCAGGAGGTTTTGCACGGCAATCAGGCAGTGTCTGCATACATTTTAGTCGACTCAAAAGACTTTTGAGTCGACTCTTGAGTCGACTTTTGAGTCGACTTTTGAGTCGACTCAAAAGTGTCTGCATACATTTTTTTCAGAGGCAGTGAGGCGGCCTATCTCTGCACCTGCGCATCCCCATCCGTCGACCTTCAACCCTAAAATCTTAAACCCTGTAGAACCTTTTTCAACCCTGTCCAACCCTGTTGAACCCCCCAGGCGTGAGATGCGGGAGGAGATTCGGCACGAGAATGAAGCAGCCTTTGCATACATCTTCTCAGACACGGTCGGGTGGCTCATATTCGCGTTCATCCTGTATGCAAATCCGAGCCAAGTGGGCATCATGAAGCTCACAGGGGACCGGATTTTTACGAATATTTCAGACACGGGCAAGGCGTTTGTCATCATCCTCTGCTCCGATATCTTCCTGGGGTGCGTCTGGGGGAGGGGGAGAGGGGGAGGGGGAGAGAGGGGAAGAGATGGACAGCGGAAGGAGGGGAGTGGGGGAGAGGGAGGGAGAGAGGGGTATTAAATTCTCATCATCTTCTGCTCCAACGCTTTCCTGGGGTGCGTGCGGGGGAGAGGGGGGAGGGGTAGAGGGCAGAAGGGGAGAGAAGATAGGGGGAGAGCAGGAGAGGGGCAGGGGAGAGAGGGGTAGAAGGGCGACGGGTAGCATGTGTGATTGCTCTCTGCCATGACGTCTTTCCGGGGTTGGTGTGGGAGAAGGGGAGAGGGAGCGGGCGACAGAGTCATGCTCACGTCATTGCCTTCCTATGCTTGCGACGTTTCTGGACCACTTCTGGCTCGTGGCACATCACAACTCTTTTGGTCTACGTCTTCTCTAGTTGCCTTGTGATCCTTGCGACTTCTGCTTTGAGACGTCTCAAAACACTTCTTTTTTCACAACTCTTTTGGTCTACGTCTTCTCTAGTTGCCTTGTGATCCTTGCGACTTCTGCTCCTACCTTCTGTGTCTCTGCATCCGGGTGGGAGACAGTGGTGGAAATGTCTCTGGATCAGAACTCAATCTACATCTTACTAACCACCTTGCTATGCTCATGACCTCTGCCAGTCCCCTTCACTCATGCAGGTACCATTCCGAGTCAGGGTGGGAAACGGTGGTGAAGATGTTTCTGGACCACTACGGCCTCGTGGCGGGTCAGAGCTCAATCTACATTCCCTTACATCCCCTTGTTTCCCTGTCACGTCCGCTGCTTCCCTTGACCTTTTTCAGGTACCACTCAGAGTCAGGGTGGGAGACAGTGGTGGAGATGTTTCTGGACCACTACGGCCTCGTGGCGGATCAGAGCTCAATCTACATTCCCTCACATCCCCTTGTTTCCCTGTCACGTCCGCTGCTTCCCTTGACCTTTTTCAGGTACCACTCAGAGTCAGGGTGGGAGACAGTGGTGGAGATGTTTCTGGACCACTACGGGCTCGTGGCGGATCAGAGCTCAATCTACATATTCGTGGCCATTGTGCCCGTCACCATCGACTCCTTCTTTAAGCTCTGGGTATGATTTCAGTTATGATTTCTGTTCTCACACCCTAACTTGTGGATTCACTGAATATTCTTGTGGCCATTGTGCCTGTCACCATCGATTCTTTCTTCAATCCCTGGGTACGACCCAGGTGTTTTGAAACTCTTTTCCTTTGTTTTTTTCCATTTAATCTAGCCATATGCATCTTCATGGCCATTATGCCTGTCACCATCAACTCCACCTGCAAGCTCTGGGTATGGTTCTCGTAAGTCATAAGCTCAAATTCATTTCGACTTCAATCCCATGCTTGCTCTGCCCCACTCCTTGATCTGCCGTGTTATCTTGCTCATACCTTATCTCCCCTTGCCTTCCTTGTTCCTATCCCAACCTCAAACCCTCCAGGTGTTCAAGTACCTTGTGCGTCTCTCTCCCTCTGCTGCTGCCACTTTCCGCGAAATGAAGCGTCACTAGGCCTGCCACTGCTGTTGGTCCTGCTGCTGGTCCTGCTGCTGCCACTGCTGCTGGTACTGCTGCTGCCACTGCTGCTGGTTCTGCTGCTGGTTCTGCTTCTGGCCCTGCTGCTCCTGCTGCTGGCCCTGCTGCTCCTGCTGCTGGCCCTGCTGCTCCTGCTACTGGCCCTGCTGCTCCTGCCAGTCCTGCCGCTTCTGCTAGCCCTGCCGCTTTATGGCACTAGCCCGGCTACTGCTCTTACTGCTGATTCTAGTTCTGCTGCTGCTCACACTACCCCCTGCTGCTGATCCACGACTGCTACTAGTCTGCTGCTGCTGCTGCTGCTGCTGCCGCTGCCGCCGCCGCCCAATAACCGCTACTGCAGCTGCTGCTTCTGCGCCCTTCGCCTGCCATCTTCCTCTCAAAGTTAGAACGGTGGTCGAGCCCTCACGGGGCAGAATTTGTCTGTTCGTCTAGATTTCGGACACATTTTTTTGTGTTCATATGTTTAACGGTTTTAGCTCATATGAAAGGTCGGACACGTAAAAAATATGGTGTGCTCCTTGAACAACCCCTCCAAGCTCATAATATTCAAGTGAAATCAAGGTGACATCAGAGGGTTTTCCATTACAGAAGGAGCCAGGATATACTTTCCCTAACTCAATACAGGATTTCTCAACTCTAGCAACGAGTACAAATTCTCCCATTGTTTTGCGCGATATGCGGCACCTGGAACGAACCGCTGAACACCGTCCGTCCAACAAGGCGCGCACCAGATTGTTTTTGAAACTTCGGATGTCGCAGCGCAGGATGGCCCAGGTTCTGCTTTGGTTTTTAGAACTTTTCCTGCTGGTATTAAGACGGTCCAGAGAGGTAAGAGAGAGGTAATACGGCCAATCGGTTCATACTGTACAAGCAGCCGTGAATCACTACAGTACAGTACCAGGCAGGGTGACACGCGGCAGCAACCAAACCCTGGTCAGCCCATCACCAAACCGAACCCTTCCACTAGTCATGCTTTGCGAGAGTCGGCTACCGCTGTGACGCGATGTCGAGCCGCATCGAGCAAACTAGCCCTGGGACTTGGAGACATCATGGTCACCTTCACCTGAGGTCGCCGTCAATGCCGGACGAGAATCGCCGATCCCGGCGCTTCTATCGCTCTTCCACCCGCTTTCCGCGTTCTCTGAAAAGTACGCCGCGTGCTACGCCAGCGCGGAGTAGTAGCAACGACGATGGTTTCCAGTCCTTTGCATGTGCCTCTGTTCTATCGAGCAGCCAGCTCAGTAAGCTATAACTGTGGCCTTTCCTTAAAGCAGCAGTATACATTTGGCAGCACTGTTGTTTCTGTACAGTGTGCCAGGCGATTTCGCCTCAACGAAAATGTAAACAGAATAGCGAGAGTGTTGGCGAAAAACTGGAGCACTTCCGTTGTAAGAGGAGCAGGGTTGGGTAGGTTGTGGGTCACAAAATGGGAAACACCTCCCGTCACCGAACTTGCCACATCACACACTACGGGGAATACGCATCTAGTAGCTACTAGTTTAGGTACTAGGCAGCAGGCCGGAGGGTGCTAGGCCAGCAGCGCGACCACATACATAGACGCGGGTGAGTATTTAGCCGTGTGCAGAACAGGCGACGCCTGCGAGCGTCACTAGCGCCAGCGATGGTGGCACTCCGTGTGTGTCGTGTCATTCCGCGCGCGTCACTGGCGCCAGCAATGATAGCATTCCGTTAGCGGGACTTGCGCCAGTTACGCTATCATTCCGCGCGCAACACTTGCGCGCGCTGTGCTGGCATCCGCGCGCGGCACTTGTGCGCGCTATGCTGGCATTCCGCGCGCGCTAGCATAGCGCGCTCAGCAGAGCTGCGCTTGCCAGCAAAACGCGCGCCGCAAAGCGGCACCTGCATACCGCGCGGCGCGCCAGCACAGCGAGCGCATGTGACGCTTAGATGCCCCAGCAAACAGCACGCGGTTGCAAGCACGCGCTCTCCAGCGAAATTCAGTCTAGAAGCGCGCGCGAGCCAGCCATCCTACTGCAGCCACCAGTAACGCGCTGCTCGCCTCACGGATTTCTCCAATACACGAAATGCGTAAGGCCGCGTCCACACGTTTGGACTCATTTCCGCCCCTGCTTCCCCTCATTTCCGCCCCTGCTTCCCCTCATTTCCGCCCCTGCTTCCCCTCCTTTCCCCCCACGCATCCCCTCATTTCCGCCCCTGCTTCCCCTCATTTCCGCCCCTGCTTCCCCTCATTTCCGCCCCTGCTTCCCCTCCTTTCCCCCCACGCATCCCCTCATTTCCGCCCCTGCTTCCCCTCATTTCCGCCCCTGCTTCCCCTCCTTTCCCCCCACGCATCCCCTCATTTCCGCCCCTGCTTCCCCTCCTTTCCCCCCACGCATCCCCTCATTTCCGCCCCTGCTTCCCCTCCTTTCCCCCCTTGCTTCCCCTCCTTTCCCCCACTTATTCCCCTCCTTTCCCCCACTGCTTCCCCTCCTTTCCCCCACTGCTTCCCCTCCTTTCCTCCACTTCTCTGCCTCGCCTTTCCCCCCCGTACTTCCCCTGCTTTCCCCCGCTGATTCCCCTCCTTTCCTCTCCCCTCCTTCCCCCCGTTTCCCCCACTGCTTCCTCTCCTTTCCCCCACTGCTTCCCCTCCTTTTCCCCCCTCTCTGCATCGCCTTTCCCCCCGTGCTTCCCCTCCTTTCCCCCCTCCTCCCCCCCGTTTCCACCACTGCATCCCCTCCTTTCGCTCCCTTCCCTTGCTTACCCTCCCTCCCTCCCCCTACCTACTGTTTCCACTTTCCACCTCCAGTATCGTACTACCACCCACGTTTCCCAGTAATGCCCTCTCCGCATCCCTTCTCACCCCCTCATTTCCTCTCTGCATCCCTTCTCACCCCATCCTTTCCTCTCCGCATCCCTTCTCACCCCATCCTTTCCTCTCCGCATCCCTCCTCACCCCATCCTTTCCTCTCCGCATCCCTCCTCACCCCATCCTTTCCTCTCCGCATCCCTCCACACCCCATCCTTTCCTCTCCGCATCCCTTCTCACCCCATCCTTTCCTCTCCGCATCCCTCCTCACCCCATCCTTTCCTCTCTGCATCCCTTCTCACCCCATCCTTTCCTCTCCGCATCCCTTCTCACCCCATCCTTTCCTCTCCGCATCCCTCCTCACCCCATCCTTTCCTCTCCGCATCCCTCCACACCCCATCCTTTCCTCTCCGCATCCCTTCTCACCCCATCCTTTCCTCTCCGCATCCCTCCTCACCCCATCCTTTCCTCTCTGCATCCCTTCTCACCCCATCCTTTCCTCTCCGCATCCCTTCTCACCCCATCCTTTCCTCTCCGCATCCCTCCACACCCCATCCTTTCCTCTCCGAATCCCTCCCCACCCCATCCTTTCCTCTCCGCATCCCTCCTCACCCCATCCTTTCCTCTCCGCATCCCTCCTCACCCCATCCTTTCCTCTCCGCATCCCTCCTCACCCCATCCTTTCCTCTCCGCATCCCTCCACACTCCATCTATCCTCTCAGCATCCTTTCTCTCCCCATCCCTCCTTGCCACCATCCCCTCAGGTTTTGTGGCGCTGTGTCCAGGAAAGGCGACCTGCTGCGTGCACTCTTTGCTTAGTTACTAGTATGCATGGATTGCCTCTCTGCTTTTACTCGTGACCACTGCTTTGTTTACATACTGTGTTATGGTAGGGAACATGCTACAAAGAGTGTTGAAGTCACATGTAATGATGTCACAAAGCACTACGTTCAATAACCAGTTGGTAAAAACACAAACATGAGTTTGATGGCACGATGTGTTGGGTCAGTAAGAAATACCTAAAAGGGGAAAAGAGGGTGTGTTTATGTGCTAATGTTCAAGGCGGAAGATTGAATACTTGGATCGTATAAGGACAGGCCGATTGACCGAGAGGCTTGAAGCTGCTTTGCTCGTAGCCGTTGCCATGCTCCCCTGCCATTCCCATTGCAATCGCAGCCTATCCAAGCCCAGGTTGCAGGCTGTTATGTGCCCTGTGAGGCGTAGGATGTGCAGTCAGGAAAGCACCCCACCTGCAACACAAGCACAGAAATCGAGCAAGGGAATACAATGTGAGGGCTGTAGGAGGTCAGATTCAACTAAGAAAGAAACACATAAGTGTGGGGGACCTGGAGGGGCAGGGTGTGAGCAGAGCGCCCTTGGTAGAGGAGGGGGTAAGAAGAGGTAGGAGAGGGGAGGTGAGAAGAATGCCCCTGGTAGGGGGATGGGAGGTGAGCAAAGAGTGCCTGATAGGGCCAGGAGAGGTGGTAGGGGAGGGGAGATGAGAAGGGAGTAGGTGGTAGGGGAAGGGGAGGTCAGATGGGAGTATGTCGTATGTGGTAGGGGGAGGGGAGCAACGATGTGAGTAGGTGGTATGGGGAGGCGTGGTGGGCTGAAATCCCGTGGTAAGGGGGGGAAAGGGGAGGTGAGATTGGAGTAGGTGGTAGGGGGAGGGGAGGTGAGATGGGAGTAAGTGGGGGTAGGTGGGAGATGCATGTTGAAATTTCCCATGGCAATGCCGCTGTTGCTTGGGAGGTGACGACAAGAGAATCGAAAGGGGCTTGGTTACAGGTTTAGCGGAAGGGAAGGATGGCAGTGAGGATTGCAAGAGGAGAGAATGGCTGGAGGAGTGCGTAAGGATGGAAGGATGGGGGACAGGAAGGCAGGGAGAGAAGGGAGGGAAGGGAGGGCAGGGAGAGAAGGGAGGGAAGGGAGGGCAGGGAGAGAAGGGAGGGAAGGGAGTGAAGGGAGAGGAAGGGAGACATGGGAGAGAAGGGAGGGAAGGGAGTGAAGGGCGAGGAAGGGAGACACGGGAGAGAAGGGAGAGAAAAGGAGGGAACGGAGAGACTTCTATCGAAGGGAGAGAAGGGAGGGAAGGTAGTCAAGGGAGGCAAGGGATGAAAGGGAGTGAAAGGAGAAGCAGGGATGTCGGGAGGGAGAGACGAGGAAGGGTAGGGATGAAATGGAAGGTAACGGAGATACGGTGGGGGGGAGGAGAAGGGCGGGAAGGGAGCGAAGGTATTGAAGGGAGAGAAGGGCGGGAAGGGAGCGAAGGTATTGAAGGGAGAGAAGGGCGGGAAGGGAGGGACGGGAGGGATGGGAGGGACGGGAGGGACGGGAGGGACGGGAGGGACGGGAGAGAAGGGAGAGAAAGGAGAGACAGGAGATTGCATGGAGGGATGAGAGGGAAGGGAGAAAAGGGAGAGAAGGTAAGGGGGGAGAGAAGGGCGGGAAGGGAGAGAAGGGAGGGAAGGAAGGGAAGGGAGGGAAGGAGGGAAGCGAGGGATGGGAGAGAAGGGAGGGAAAGGAGAGATGGGAGAGTAGGGAGAGAAGGGAGGGAAGGGAGGGAAGCGAGGGAAGGGAGACAGGGAGGGAAGGGAGAGACTGGAGAGAAGGGAGGGATTGGAGGGAAAGGAGGGAAGGGAGGGAAGGGAGAGAAGGGAGGGAAGGGAGAGAAGGGAGGGAAGGGAGAGAAGGGATGGAAGGGAGAGAAGGGAGGGAAGGGAGAGAAGGGATGGAAGGGAGAGAAGGGAGGGAAGGGAGAGAAGGGATGGAAGGGAGAGAAGGGAGGGAAGGGAGAGAAGGGATGGAAGGGAGAGAAGGGAGGGAAGGGAGAGAAGGGATGGAAGGGAGAGAAGGAAGGGAAGGGGGGTCGGGCGACGGACAGGGGAAAAGGGAGGCGGCGGGAAAAGGGGATCGGGCGGCGGGAATGCGCATCGGGCGGCGGGAAAGGGGAAGCGGGCGGCGGGAAGGCGCATCGGGCGGCGGGAAAGGGGAAGCGGGCGGCGGGAACGGGAATCGGACGGCGGGAAGGGGCGGACGGGCGGCCCGCCTGGAATCAATGGGCGGGAAAGGGGATTCAGGCGGCGCGGAGTGAGATTCGGGCGGCGGGAAAGGGGAACCGGGCAGCGGGAACATGAATCGGGTGGCGGGAACATGAATCAGGCGACGGGAAGGGGAGTAGGGCGACGGGAAAGGGAAATCGGGCGGCGGGAAAAGAAGAATCGCGAGGCATGACGGGGAATCGGGCGGCGAGAACAAGGAGTCGAGCGGCGTTCCGAATCGGGCAGCGTGACTGGGGTTTCATGGCGGCGGGAAAGGGAAATCGGGTGCCGGGAAGGGGGATTAGGCGACGGGAAAGAGGAACTTTGCGTCGGCGAAGGGAAATCGGGCCGCAGGAAAGGGAATGGCTAAGGCGTTCTCACTTTGATGCGGAATGCTCCGTGTATCAGGCGCCGAAAAATAAACAATGGCTCTGTCGGCGTATGACCTATGCGTGAGAAGAGCTATAATCGCAATGGCTTGCACCGCTTTTGGAAGTTACCTTTTTAGTGCTGAGTAAGGACGCCGTGGGTGTGGGCATAGTGGCGAGGAGGTATGTCCTTCAGTATACTTTTGGCTAGGTATAAACTTTTGACGAGTGAGTCAGGTGACTGGGGTTGGGTTTGGACTTGTCGCTGTGTCTGAAGTCGAGGGACCCTGTAATTTGGTTACCACCATGTACCTTTTATAAACTTTTGGACTTTCCCCTGGCAAATGTATACCGCCGCTTTAAGCATCATCACACCTCATTCGTTTCATACCGTTCGGCTCCAAGTCCCTTTTCGTAGATTCGGCAGCGCCGTGATTTCGCTGCACGATCCGCAAGTCCCACCACTATTTCCTCTCAAGCAGCCATGGCCTACACGTCGCTGCGACCCGCGCTCGTCGTTGCGGGTGAGCATCCAATACTCGCACTGTGAGAGACCGCTGTTATAGCGCACTCGGTGACTTTTGAGTCGACTAAAAAGTCAGCTCGTCGTCGCTGGTGAGCATCCAATATTCTCACCGCTGTTATCGCGCACTTGGACCATTCCGCCAGGTTGCATGTGATGTTAAAGTATTTTTGAGACGTCTCAAAAACTACTACTATAAATACTCTCACCGCTGTTATCGCGCACTTGGACCATTCCGACACTGGCGGCTGCATGTTGCCACTCGCTACTATTTAGAATGATTCTTGCAAAACCAATGCGAACATGCTGTGCTGTTCCTTATTCTTCCCGTCATTGTCTTACTCGGCGCGCAGTGCTACTCTCGCTCTCCTGCAGCGCCATCGCGGGCCGCCATCTCCTCCAGTCGACTCCGCGGAATATGAACTGTACGCCGCCCTTCCGTGCCGCACTGACACCGACTTGGAAAGCACCTGGTCTATTAGTCCAACCTGACCGCACTGAGCATTGCATGACGTTGCTTGCACTGTCTCGTGCTCCTCGCACCGCCGTCGCTTCTCCGCTTCCGTTATTCGTCGTTAGCCGTCCTCGTCAAGCCTATTTTTCCTCTTGTCGCGCAGACACCGCAACGGCAACAATCATTCGAGAAACTGGCCCGACCGGCTGGTTTTACATGTCTGCTAACGTGTAAGCGCTGATAATTTCATTCGCTACATAGCGTGTGACTCATTAGACTCACCATCACGCTGAACGTGTGGAAGGGGCTCCCCACTGGATCGGCAGTGAAAGTTGTACATTCGGTAGAGCAAATAGGTGATTTTTTGGATTGGCGATTTTCCCATCGGTTCTCACACCATCCGCCCTATCTCACCCCCTTCACCCCCAATCCCCGTCCTCGCCCTTTCCTCTTGCAGCACGTCCACGACTCAGAAAATTGTTTTCTCCTTCTACGTTGATAACGTGTATGTGCGCAATCTAGCAGACGTCACGCCTCCCGCTTTCTACAGACCTGACACGGGAGCCCTCGTGAAGGCAATTCCATGCACAGCCACGGTGGACGTGCAATGGGGCACATATACCTGCCAACTCTTCCAAACCGCTCTGATCCCCAAGGCTTATACGCCCGTCGACCCGATCATGCAGTTAGATACTGCTGGGGTGTTTAGAACCAGTTTCGATACCTTCAATGGGGCGTTCTGATGTCGGGAAGGATCACAGCATCCAAGAATTACTATGCATAGACAAAAGGGAGTTTGGAGCGTTTCTCCCATGGGGAGGAGTTTCTCCGCATGCATATAGCTAGTATTGTGGGGAGGGAGGGTAAGAAACTAAGCAGGATTTACAAGATTTACTGTTTGTCGTGATTGCTAGGCAAGAACGAATGAAACTAAGAAAAGTTGGGGTACAAAAGGAAACTCTAGAAAGAGTTGTACCCCATGTAAGATTCCCCACTACAGCCTACAAATAAAAAACAGCATTATAATTTGACACACCCTCATAGGCAAAGTGGGGAAGGATCAGTGGTCACAACACCAGTCAAGAAAAGCAAAGCAAGCTCAGGGTGTTATATAAGGCACAAGCAAATGGCCACAAGGATAGACCACATGCAAAGTTATATAAAACAAAGAAAGTAGTACAATGATCACTACCTAGCAGGTATAAGCATGCAAGTATATATATACAGATCACAGTACAAGCAAAGTCAAGCAGTGAGCAAGTGAGAGAAAGTGGACACAAGCCCTAAAGTTGTGCAGTGACGCTGATGATCACTAGGCAGAAGTGCCTTGGTGAATATATCAGCAGTGTTGGCCCGCGTGACCACGCAAGTCAGGCGAAGCAGGCCACGCTACTGCAGCTCTCGAGCAAGGAAGTAACGCAGAGCGATGTGCTTCGTTCTGTGGAGCTAGCGGCGCGCTGCCGCCCCTCGACGCAAGAAATGCAGGCGGGGCAGGGGAGGGTGGGAGGGAAGGCAGAGACTTGGGAAAACCAGAGACCAGAAGGCGAGAGGGCATGCCACGAAGGCGTGGCAGGGAGGGGTGACCAAGGCGGTGGTGCCAAAGGAGAGTCTGGTGCGACAGGCGACGACACTCACAGGGGGCTGCTACCGAACATGACGGGGACACCTGAGCAGACGTAGCGACCTGAGGCGGCGCAGTAGTCAGTGTGTACAGACTCGACCCCGGCCGACGAGTGAACGTGGCCAGGTGACGGCCAGTCCGAGAGCACGTACAGATCGCCACACGCTGCCATCCAGGTGTAAAGGTATCAACCCCTGCATCCTGGAGGACTGCGTTGCTCACCAAGTTCGTCGAGAACGAGGGGAGGTGGAGACCTGACAGTGAACCGGACGGAACGGCCGGGCACGGGAGCACAGTAGAGGAGCGTGCAAGAACCGGGCCCCCAGAGGGGTCAGCCAGGGAGACTGCAACCGGTCTGGTGAGTGGTGTGAGTGTGGTACTGTCGCGAAAGAAGCAGCGAGAGGCACCTGAGTCAAGCGTGAAGGTGTGCGAGATCCCAGCAGGCGCAGTACCAGAGAGAGCAGACTCACTAGCACCTAGAGCAGCAGCCTCTATACCAGGGTCATACGGCGCACACAAGTAACAGTCACCCTCAACACTAGTAGACAGAGCATACATTCCAGCAATGATAGCATCAAAGTCAAGAGCAAAGACATCAACGCCAGTCCTAAGCAGCTCTGCCCAGCGAGGCAGCTCATACTCGTCGCCCATCTCCTGACGCCAAGCGTCGTCTAGGCGGGAGAAACAGCGGTGCTGGGTGTGAAACTTCCCGCACGTCTGACCAGCGCGGGGACCTGTGCGAATAACGTACGAGCAGCGACCACTACCACCACCCCTAGACGCTACACGTTGAGCAAGCCACTCACGAAGCTACTGGGGCGAGGGGGTCTCACGCGGACGCTTCTGCTCCTCCTCAGCACCAAGGAATTCGACAGTAGCGGCAGAGGCAACAGAGGGGGCAAGGGGGGAGGGGGAACACCCCTCAAAGAAGTGTGTGCGGGGGGTGCCACGGGTAGCACCTACAGCGACTATGTTAGCCTCAGCTGCAAGAAGGTGCTTCCCTAGCAGGTCGATGGCGAGGTCTGTGGGGGGCTCAGCAAGAAGGGTGTCCCGGACTGCACTAAGAGAGTCAGGGAGGCGGGTCACTATAAAGTGGAGAGTGATGTAGATCGGGGGCTCGTTCTTGGTGAGAAACTTGGCAGGGAGGGCAGCACGGTAATGAGCGTCCATAGCGCGAAGGTGAGAGAGGAGGTCGTCTACAGTGGCGAAGGACGATAGGTCGGGGAAAAGGTAGGGCAGGAAGAGGCGACTAAGCACTGCAGTGGCAAGGGAAGAGTAGCGGGCAACTACAACTAAGCCTTAGCAGTTTCGCCTGGTCAAAATGCTCGCATTCAGCTACCGGCAGGTGGTTGCGAATGGCTAGGCGAGCAGCAGCGTCACGGGTAAGCCACTGTGAGCGAGCGTGTCGTAGCGTCCGTTGAGGCTGATGGGGCAGTGGAGGCACCAGACGCTAGGTTATAGAGCGAGACACCGTCCCTAGCGTCGCTCAGTAGGTACAGCTGCAGGTCCTGGAGCCAGGTGTCGAATTTGACTGGGCGGCCGTCAGGATCGAATGCGAGAATACGCAGAGTGGCCATAATTCAGGAGCGCAGGAGCAGGGCAGGGCAGAGGCAGCGCAAGGGCTGGAGAGGTTGCAAGCAGGCAGCTGCGCAGGCTGAAAGGGCAGGGCGCAAGCTGCAAGGGCGTTGCGCCGGGTCGCAAGGGCGGCGCACGGGGCAGAGCAGGGGCAGCGCAAGGGCTGCCGGGTTAGGGCGCGGGCTGCAAGGGCGGCGCGCGGGGTAGGGCAGAGGCAGCACGAGGGTCGGTGGGGCAGAGCGCGGGCTGCAAGGGCGGCGCGCGGGGTAGGGCAGAGGTAGCACGAGGGCCGGTGGGGCAGGGCGCGGGCTGCAAGGGGCCGCGAGCGGGGCAAGGCAGAGGCAGCACGACGGCTGCCGGGGTACGGCGCGGGCTGCTGGGGCTGCGCGCGGG